AGTAATAAGCGTAACTATGATAATTAATAGGTAAAATCACAAAAGTTGCATCAACTTTAACCGTAATTTTTATAGGAATGGGGAGTTGCAATATTTTGTTTGGAATTATAAGGACCATAAAAGACAAATTTCAGTCAGAACTATTTTTTTCAAAATATCAATTTTTCTGTTTTTATGGGAAAATTACATAAGTTACTATAACTTTTGAACCGTAATTTTTACAGCAATGGGTTGCGCTATGTTGTTAAGAAGGACCATCAAATTCAAATACTAATTTCAATGAAAACCAGTTTTTTTTACAAAAATCCTTAATTAACCTTTAAACTGTCTTAATTTTAACTACAATTTTGTTCCGAATTTAAAGGGCATATTAAATTTTTATCAAAATCTTTTGGGCCATTTTAGAGAAAATTAAAAATTTCTTTTTTTTGGAGGATTTTATGGGAAAATTACCATTAAAAATCCAAATTTTACAAAAATGGTCTGTACACATCCACACATACAGACACACACACGGTCAGACGTCACTTCGAAAATCACTTTTTTGGGTACAGGGGGACCCAAAACAAATATATATATCCACTAAAAAAACTCAAACATTTTGATGAAAAGAATACACTTTTTTTACAATTTTGATGAAATAAGAAAAAATTGTTGTGAACTTCCAGTATTAACGTCGCTTAAAACCAGCAGTGTTATAAACTAATGTATCAAATTACTGTGGAAAACAAAATTCATATAGTCAACACGGAAAAACTGTTGAAAACAACACCACATAAAAATTAGTGTTTTTTTTTATTGTTGTTAACTTTTGTTTAAAACACATGATGCAAACTCCAAAGTTAATACAGCTTATTTTTGGTAATGCAACCATGTAAGCAACAGTGTTTCAGTTGCTGCAATGAATAAATTTCTTACTCGTCAGTGGTTTCAGTAGATTAATTCAGCTTACCTGATACACTCATTAGGGTAGAGTTTACAGTCGGTAATACATCTGTAGCGCTGCCATGACATGAAGCCCATGGGGGGAGTGAGGGCAAGCCCGTTGTCCAGACATGTAGCTGTTCTAATCCACACAAGGGTGAGAAAACCCGCACAAAGAGACTGGATCATTATAAGCCTTCAACTGCAACATTGTTTTAACTTCAAAAAACAAGTTTGGGTGCTGTGTTTCTAAAAATAGTGTTTCTACACTTCAAAATGTTATCAACCAAAGTCAAACCCAAAATTGTTCCCACTTTGGAATTTTACAACATTTGTAACAACAATTGTTCGGTGAAGTAGAATAACATGGGAATGTACAGACTAATAATTAATTGACCTATTACTGGCTCACACAAGTTATGTTTTTATCATACTTTAAAATTTGGATTTTTTCTGTCAGAAAGTTAGCATGAAATTTAAAAAAAATATTTACTGATGAAGATTACTTTAGAATCACCTCAATATCTGAAATATTTCTAAGGGATTGAAACTTTACAGGATAAGTTTACAATATTAAAAGATAATTTATTGCAAGTTGTTAACCAATGAGTCGCAAAAGAGGATTAACTCACTTGTATGAGAGAATGTTCTAGCTAGAGCCATAAAAAAATAAAACAAAATGGCTGAATTTCGGGTTCAATGAATAGGCTTCCCACTATGTTAATTTTGTTATCATAGAAATGGGCAGTTCTGATTAGCTGTGGTTTTATTAAACAATGAATTCATCAGCTTTCTGTGACTCTTCATATTGAGATATAAAAGATTTTATCTCTTGTTATATTATTACTAAAACTTTTAAGATGATGTAGCTTGAAATAGTATATTTCATCACTAGGGCTTAAAGTGACTCTTTTCCACCCGAGCTCAAGCCGAGGTCGGAAAATGAGCGTGGGTTGAAAAGACACTTTTTGCCCATGTTATGAACTATATTTTTGGTCATATTACACCATTATTTGAACAAACTCTATGTTTCAAAACTAAAATGTTTTTCATTTAAAGATAACCTCTCAAAACTACTTCTAATTTGTTTTCTATTTAATTTGCTAATGGAAACAAGCAGCTTAAGTGATTCAATCGCTTTATTTATTACGATTGTGTTAATTTACATTATACTAATCGATATGTCGAACTATTTACAATAAAGCTGAGATACAATCGGTACATACTTTCGATAAATGTGATTGTTTTCAATCGAGATTTACAACTGAGTTGACAACACCTGAGCTGATTTTTACTCCCTAGGGGACAAAAACACCTTTTATTCCCTAGAGAGTAAAAATGCTACTTTAGACTCGCAACACATGCATTTAAAAATGGCTGTTTTTGCTGCAGTATGACAAAAAGTATTTGGGATTAAATTAAAATATTTAGGGTTGATTTTATTATATTAGTCATTAAATTAAATTTGTATACGATATTTAACTCATTATGACAAATCTACAGATCATATTGGTAAAAAAGATAATACTAAAATGTAAAGAGACAATTCTGAAAATGTTTTGTATCAAATTGATAGTGACTTTTTTTCAAATGATGCTTATACTGTTTTGAATTTAAATATTGACATTTTATGAACATCATAAATAATACATCATCTACATAAATAAATTCATACTACCTGCAGATAGTTTATTTTTATTCGACCAACACAAAACTTTACTTTTTCACAATATGCTCAAACCATCTATTAACTAGATTATTAACTTGTTGCACTCTAAACGCTTAACATAAGTTTATGCTTTGAAATTGGAACACGGAACAATTCTGAATCATCAATACCATCTGGTTAAACAAGTGGCAGACATACACTTACTTCGTAAAATATAATCCTCACACAACGCTAAAGGTTAATGCACCTTAAAAAGATTTTAATTTGTAAATTATCATATAAAATTACAATGCTTACCTGAACAAATCAGTTGAATAATTTTTACATTTCAACTGGGAATTGATGGTTCGGTTGTTTCATTTGAAGGTAGGGCAACTAAGGCATAATCCTAACATACAATGCCAAAGAACAAACAGACAGATAGACTTAGTCTGTATGAATATGCAAATATTTTGTATGGACTTAATCAGTTTGTTTCATGGTACAGAATACAGATGAGGAGAAAAGTGATCATGCATGAAAAATCCTTGAATTTAAGATTGTCTACTAAAAATATGTTTTGCTTGAGAGTGGTATGTGCGATAGCTTGAAAGATTGTTGATTTTAATTTGGTGAGTAAACTAAGGTGTTTGTCCTCAATCTTGAAAACCTTGATAAGTAAATTATCTTCTGTGCCTCTGAGTATGTTTAGTTTTGTATACAAAAATGATTGTAAATTTTCCTTTTTTTCAATACCAACAATTTATTTTGAAACTATTTTGTTTAGTTTTTAGTAGAAGATGTTCTCCGAAACAGAGAGAAGTTCTCCTTGCCTCAGAGTCACCACGACATTATCAGTTATCACATGGTTAAAATACATCGGTGATTTGCTGGAATCGAACCTGAGTGTCTAAGACACAAGTCTCGCACTTGAACCAGAGTCACCTCTAATTAATTTTTGTCTTTTGAGTTTCTCTACTTGAAGCACGGTATGTGGAAGTTAACGTACTATTGTCTGTTCCTAGAGAATGTTCACTGGGATTGTTAAGGCATTGTACCAGATAACGTTTTCCAATTAATGAATCTAACAAAAATTTCATCAGTGAAAACAGCTGTTTTCAAGTCATGTCTTGTGTAGCTAGAGCAGTTCTTTACGTCTCTAGGGTAAAAAAGAATCAGCTAGAGTAAATCTTTACTATTAAGTTAACTTCAATCGGCACTTTAACAGACCTAATTCATACAGAACTCTATAAAAATCAAATTATACATTTGAGCTGAAAGAGACTTTGAGCCAAAAAGGAACAAAATGCATACTTCTTTTAAGCTGGGTTTTCCTAGGCGTGGAATCGGCTAGCGGAGAGAGGAACGCGGAGAGCGGACTCAGCTTGTCTTAGGCAATTTAATGTTACTGTTTTCCTAGAAGCGGAGCGGAATGCCATGTTAATTTCAATTCCGCTCTCCGCGTTCCTCTCTCCGCTCGCCGACTCCGCGCCTAGGAAAACCCAGCTTTAAAGATAAATTATAATGGCTTCACTCTTGTTAATTTAGATTAAGGAACCTAGATATAAATTGACTATTTACCAGCTTGGGAATTACTTTTGTAATAATGGTGTTCAGGTTTTATGTACAACAAAGCTTTGTCTATTGTCTAATTGTCACCTTGGAGTTAACCATTCAAACTACCCAACACACAGTATAAATGAATATTATAAGTTGTTCCACGTATAATCAAATTAATGATTAAATTTGTATCCTGAAATATGGTAAACATTATAAAATGAAGCAGGATTCATGTTTCCTGAAAATGTGTGATAAGTAAAAGTGAAATAGAGCGATTTTCTAAAGCCTCCCTTGGGATAGTGATTCAATGAACAAAAACTATTTAAAAATATAGTCTAGTATTTATTATTCATTGTGGAAACGAAACTTCTTTTTAAATATAAAAAAGAAGCCTGAATTTTAGTGAAGTAATTAATTAATCATTTCAATTTAAAATAACGCCTGTTGGCTTAATTCTGTATACATGACCATTTTATATAGCCTATCAATATAGCTGACCATTTTGTGATAAAGCTCAAGGTAAGGCCGATTTCAACAATTTGTCCTAGGGTCATTTACTTAACAATTTGAAATGGAACAGATCACTTTCATTAACTAACAAAGCCTCATATGTAACTGTGAATACTCCAAGTGCTTTAAATTCGTCTAATGGTTTTTTTAGGTTTAATTTTTGTTGACAATAGTCTGCTTGCAAAATTTAGGCGGATTAAGGGGAAGGTTTTCTTTGGTTCCATCACCACTTTTTTTAGATTAATCTATACATCAGCTGATCAGTTGTTGGCTGTTGTTTCAAAGTAAGTAAATTTTTTGAACGGAGTATAATTAATTTTTGGGGGAAAGGCCATTAAGAATAATAAAAGCTGAAATATTTAAGATTTTGTATAAAATAGTGTATATTCAATAAGAAAATGTATAAAAAGTTGAGCAAATAGTCTGTAGTAGAAATAAATAATAATAAATACACTGTATGTGTACGAATTGTTCTTAGAGAATGAATGAATAACATAACACTAAATTTTACTTTGTTCGTTTAACATTTTGATTCTTCTTCTTGTTCACATTGTTTTTGCGAGACAGCCTTGAGTTCCAAAAACACAACACCTAGAACCGAAAAAAATGTATTTAAAACCACATGCACTTGTCAAATTACTGGTTTGAGATCTTTTAATAACATAGACAATATAAATCATTATAAAAATAACAATCATTTTTGGAGAAAAAACTTTTTTGAAATTAGTTTGAAATATATTATGGAAGCCTATTTAAGACAAATATTTTTTGTACTGAGGTTTGTTTTTTTTATTTAATTTATTGAGTTGGTCTATAAACATGGTTTAGTTTAAAAAATACTTGTATTGAAAATGATGACATGATTTACTTAACGTGAGGAAGGAGAATACTTAAGAAAGTTGTGCGTGTTGAAGGTGATTTGAGGAGAGAATACCGAAAGGAAGACTTCAAGGAGAATGGAAGGATGAGATGAAGAGGGATGGATGAAAAAGAGAGGAAAATATGGAAAAAGGTAGAAGAATGTAGATAAACAGTTATAACTGAGAGAACATTTTAAGACCAAGTAACATTTTGATACTGGGTACTAATGAATTGTAAAAGAAGGTGAAAAATGAATAAGTCTTACCACTGGGGTTGATCCGTACTTGTAGGAGAGATGTTGGTTTGACCATTTCATCACAATAGGATGTTCCAAATAAGTCCTGGGGTAAAACATTAAATGTTAGAATATCATGTACTGCTCATAAAGGCTTACATGAGCTACCTATAGCTAGGTTAAGAGTACTTTGAAACAATACAAAATACCCCCGCCGCAGCAAACGTGCAGACTAACTGAATTTCCATTTGCCTAGATGGATTTTTATTGAAATATATTTCCTTTGTCAAATTCCCTATTTAAGTAATATTAAGTTTAATGAGTATGTAGGTTTGCTTCTACAGAGAAGGTTATAAAGTTTGTGTTTTTTTATTGAAATATTAAAAGCATAGTATGAAATAAATATATTACTTAATTTTATCAAAATATCCATTTTAAACAAGCAAATTAATGTTGGCAGCACTTACTTTCCCTACCATGGTTGATATAAATACCCCCCGCAGCAGCAAACTTATAGACTAAGCCAATTTCCATTTACCTGGCTGACTTTCTACTAAAATATTCCCTCAAAATTGTCAGATTCCCTGTGACCATTAGCTGTACAACAGCGCTTCAGTGTGCTAAATTATTTGTTATCTAGGCTCTAAAAAATGTTTTTAAAGAAATTGATGGAAAAAATGGGAAACCCCAATTTTTACCCCACAAATTATACAGACATTGTACAGAGATTTATCAAAACCAGATGATTTTTACTAGAATCATGAAACACACAACACACATACAAGTATATGAATTTGAACGGATTGCATCTTTTAACAACTGGGCACAAAAAAATTACAGAAACAAAAATCGGTCTCAAGTATAGGTCTTACCATGAGACTTACGGTAATAGCATTCCCTACATGGAAAATTCCCTAACAATAACATAGAGATTATCTTTAAATGTTCATTAATCTTTTGAGTCCCACTAATTATTCATTGATCTATGCATGTTTTTACCAATTTTTCCCCTAATCTTGTTAAAAAAACTACAAATTAGTATAAAAGAAGTTTGTGTCGGACACACTGAGGATGGCAAGTAACAAAATGCCTGATTTAAGGTGCAACTTTCACAGATTTATTATAGACTCTTACCTCGCTCTGTCACTGAAGGTGAACCTGTGGTGCTGTTTCTTAAAAAAGGAGATATTTTTGATAAGTTTCTGTTCTATTAATATTTTCAAATAAGGAACGATACTTTTACAAATTGCAAACAGGCATATTAATTTTAATTTCTAACTTACATTGACGATATAACCAGCGGGGTTGCGTAGGCCGAGGTTTAACACAGTGACGTTGTAACGGTACGGCATCCCATCAGCTCGGTAGCTCACAAATGCCACAGCAAATGAGAAGTGTTCCCCAACTTTAGGAGAAATTGGTCGAACCCAAGTGTTGATTTTTTCCCTCTGAAAAGATTTTGTTAAAATTAAAAAATTGCAACAAAAATAATTTTCAAACAAACTAGTAGGCTATATTGAATCTCAGCCTCCTGATCGCATTTAAATACAGTAGAGTCCCGGTTACCCGAGCTTCCGGGTTAACCGAAGCACATCTTGAAAATAAAAATTTATAAATTGCGTCAAATCGGAGGTGGACAGATATCGGTAAAAGTTGGCAGCGGTCAGCAAACATTGTGTGTTCGGCTTAAGTCGAGTGTGTTCGTGGTTTGCTGCCTGCCTGCCATTTTGCTGTTGGTTTTGCTTAGTTGTCAATACTGTGGTGAGTGAAGCTAAAGGTACTGGTACGTTGTGTTATTTCTAAGCACATCATGAGTGGTAAATGGCAAACGGAAACGTACTGTTGTTTGGAGAGTCTACTAAGAAAGTGGCTAAGGAACTAGGTGTTGGTGAAGTGACTGTGGGAGACTGGCGGCGTAAAAGATCTGAAATTGAAGGTTGGGCTTCTCAGAGCAGCAGTTTTAATAACATTTCAAGTAGGAAAACTATGAAAAAATGTGAGTATGAAAAGCAATTGCGTTTCAAAAACATTTCAAAGATGGCGATGATCCTTTTACTGCTAGCACAGGGTGGCTAGACCAATGAAAGAAGAGGTTTGGGATAAGACAGTTAGATATTAGCGGAGAAAAGTTGTCGGCAAACTCTAATGACGTTACAGTTAAAAAAAAATTGGAAACCCTGATATTGAAACATGGTCTTACCTCAGAACAGAATGATACTAGCCCCTTTAATTTGAGACATAAATCTTGTAGATCGGTCCAGTAATGACTGAGAAAACAGACTTACAACTGTGTATTAAATATATAGATTTAATTGCAACGAAACAGGCCTAAATTACCGAATGTTACCATCTAAAACGTTAGCAGCTAGGGATGAGCAGACAGTACCTGGATATAGAAAAAATAAGGATAGGGTTACTGTTCTGGGATGATGTTACAATGCATCCGGAAGTTTAAAATTGAAACTGGTGGTTATTGGTAAAGCAAAGAACCCTCGAGCGTTCAAAAACCTGAACATTTAATCACAGAATATATACTACTATTACCCAGAATGCTGACTGCTGGTTATAAAGCGTTAAGTACTCGGAGAGAGCTTTGCCTGCCTCTCCATAGGCAGCGCCACCAGCATTGACAGGCAAGCGCTGTCAGTGCTGCCAACTGCACGCACCCTTATTTCCCTCTCTCTCCTAGCTAAGCTGTCATGGCTCGTCTGCACTGCACTGTCTAGTGTAGCCAGCGCGCGCGCGCGTTCATTTCAAAACGGAATTGTATTCTCAATTGTCAATGTATATTTGTGTTTTGAAATAGTGTTTTTTTTAGTTATTTTAAGTTAATTGTTATCATGACAAGGACAAAGTGTAGCTATAAGTCTTGTTCTTCAAGCCGGGAGGAAGGTGTCCGTATGTTCCGGTTCCCCAATTCACCATTAGCCGATATTTGGACGATTAATTGCGGTAAGTACTGAATATCATATATACATATATATATATTTATATATTAATGTTTTCACGACACCTTTTAAGAATACAAAACTTAAATATTAATTTGTATTGTGTTGTTCTATAAAGTTAGTACTAATAAGTTTACATTTCAAATAAGATCGCAGCATTACGATTAGAAATTATTTGATTGCTCATAACTTCAAATGTATTATGGCGTATAAAACTGGAATTATCAGTAGAATAATTAGAGGTAATAATCTGGAACAAATAATTTGTCTTAAACTGTTGCAGCGCGTTATGCGCCATTGCTTTGGTAATAATAAAAACTAACACTTTGAAATTAACTATAATTGTATTGATGTAGAAACTAACAAATAATATTAGTGGGCTGTATAAATGAAACCGTTGTGAAAAACTAATGTGGTTTTAACATAATGTGAATAAGACGAATGAAATGCGTTGAGGGATCTGCCTCTCACGTTCTATATGAAGCTATGCGAACTTAACAATGTGATGCTCGTCGAAACAGAGACAAAACCCAAGGTTTGAGTTACAACATTCTAAGAACTGGCGAGGAAGGGTCCGTCCTTTCGTAGAAGGACGGTGATTTATTACTCTGTACCGCTGCTAAAGCCGACAAGTGGCCCTAGGTGAAAGAACGTTAGACTCTACATTTTGAAATACTAAACTAAATGTGAAAACTAATTATCCTAAACAACATTCGGGTTATTGACATCATTTATTTATGTTTATGATCCATACCGGTTCTGTTATAATATTCATCTATCTATCTATCTATATAAATAAAATTAGAGTTTTGTCTGTACATTGCTCAGAATCATAAATTTTTAGATTATTTTTACGTTTTATACATTAAAGAAGCCGAAACAAGTCTCATCTAAATTTCTGTCTGTCTGTCTGTAACACTCAAGGTGGTATTTTACGCAATCTTCTCCAGGAAAACGAGAGTACCTATCAAGATCCAAGTTATTTTAATGTTTTCACTGGATTGGCGAGAGTGTCTTTAGCCATTACAATATGGCCTCAATGCCCTCAATACTTTGTAAAAAAAAATACGGACGTTTAAAAAAGCAGATTTGTGCGATTTTTGTCAAGTTTTCGTCCAATTTTTATCACATAATCATCTATGAAATAACGAACAGCTGTTCTGATCAAGATTATTTTTTCTAGATATGTTTACAAATACTGCAACCATTTCCGATCAAGTTTTAAAGGCAAATCCCATCCATAAAGGATGCATGTAAAAAGATGTAAAAAGGATCCATTTTTACATAAAGGATGTAATTAATCGCAAGTGGAATATTTAATATAGTGTAACCGTAAATGAAATTAACTAACTAGGCATCATCCAGGTCAGGAACCAGAGATTCTTTGTGTATAAAATTGTTCTGAAGTTTTGATAACCAGAAAGAAGACATCGAATCAGTGTTGTATATGGCTGGGAAACTTCAATTTATTAATGATCGTCGCCAATAGCTTAGAAACAAGGTTCCACTCATTGACGGCGCTTCAATGGCGGTTGTGTACAGTGTAAAGTAAAAATTCACAACTGCAGTGGGTGGTTGTAACAGAGGTTTACGGATGATGCTAAGCTCGATTTTCCAATGTGTCACTTTCTGTTCCTACCATTGATTATATATAGTTAATAGTTCCTACTCACCGTTCCTACCCGACCGCTTTTCATGATTGAGGTCTGAAATTGAAGGTATGCACGCACAGATTTGCATTCAAGCATTGGCTATACAGTGTTTTTTAGTAAACCATAACGGGCTTCAGATTCTACATGAAAAAATAAATCGCAAATGTCGAGAACTTTTTTTCAATTTCGTGTTACTTCAGCCGTAAACCGCATTTTTTTTATTTTTTTGAAAATAATTAATAACTTAAAAACCCTTGGAGATATTTTTATGAAACTTTGTAGAAACTTTAAGTCTACAGGAACAAACATTCTCCGAAAATATCTTTGATCATAAGGCTTACCAAATTTCAAAAAGACGGTAATTTAAAATTTTGTTTTAAGGTGACACAGTACTCCCTATCCCGCCCATGTTAAAATGACAGTTTTTAGGTACACATAACTGTTACAAATATTAACCCATCAACTTGAAATTTTTGTACTAAGTTAAATACATTATTACCAACAATAATATGAAGCAAAAATGTTTTTGAGCAAAATTAAATTGTTAGTGTTGAGGTTAAATCTGTGGACCTTATTTAATTATAATACTTGACTCTTCAAACAAACAATACTTTATTTTATATCTTTTAAACATAACACATATAAACTTATACAACTCATAAGCACATTTGTTTTTACCAACTAGGAGGTTGCTATGCCAACATAACAACTAATTTTATAAACATGAAACAGTCTTTAATTACACATAGAATAATAAATAATTGAGTTAGGGTATATTTTGATATATTTTTGTATTGCTTCAACACCCTCCCTTAATATAAAAATGTATTGTCTTCTTACAAACAGTTTTAAACATTCATCTTATTTCTGAATCTGGAACTTTGGTTTACACAGAGCTTTTGTTAATATATCCGCCAATTGGTTTTCAGAGTTAATGTACTTTAAAACAACACTTCCCTTTTTGATAACTTCCCTTAAAAAAGGTCATTTGACATCAACGTGTTTAAGTCTTTTGTTTTCTAGACTTCCTGCAACAGCTATTGCTGATTGATTATCTTCATGGATGATCAGTGTATAAAGAGTGTATAAAAGTCGCTGTATTGCTTAAAATAATTTTTTCTTCCATAATATTTGGTATGTACGTGTTCAGGAAAGTGGGTTCTACAAAACTAAATAATAAAAATGTTTAAAAAAAATTAATATTTGACGGCGTACCCTCTGCGTCTTGATTAGTAGTAGGACCTTGGACATGCTAAATTAGGCTGCAATAATTTATAAAAGTAGCTGAAAATTTAAAAATAATTTTCTTTCTTCCTTAATTTTTATTATCTACGTGTTCAGAAAAGTCTGTTCTACAAAACTAAATAATAAAAAAAAATTATACAGGGTGGCGCATAAAGAACGCATGGATTTGAGTTGAGTGGTAAGAGCAATAAAAGCGTCCGTGGAGGGACTGGGCCTGGTTGTTTTGTAGGTTAGGGCGTCCAGTTTTAGTAGTAATGGTGCAATCAACCTGACGCATCACGTTTTTGCTGTAGAACATTTATTAAAAAATAATGAATCTGATACAACTGTTCAATGGCTTCTCCGTGCATAGTTCAATGGTTCAAAACAAAACCCCATCGCAACACAATACTTTGTTGGATAGCTCCTTTTCGCACAATTGAATCAGTTATGAAGCAGAAGTGGTTTGGTTGTCCTTGCACGGCGCGAACTCCACAAAATGTCGACAGAGTAAGGGCGTCTGTTACACTAGGCGATGCGCTCCAACTGTGTGCTTGTCTTGACGCTCGTTGCAGGGCAACCTGAAAGACGAGTTAAAATTTCATCCTTACAAAATTATGATCG